ATTTATATATTACTCGTAGTAACTATATTTGCAATTTCGTTGTATAGCCGTATAGGTATGGTATTTATGTAGCAAAAGTATAATTCGGATAAACGTCAACGTTGGTTGGTTTTATCTGAAAGTCAATCACATGCACATGCAATAAACATTACCCATATAATGAATCACTGATTCATCTGAACAACGTTGTGGATCGCAGAGGCTGAGACTGAATCTTCAAAACATTAATCTCGACTGAACAGTTATTCGTAAGATTATATTTCGATCGTCAGCAAATTCCTTGAATCGTGGTATTCATCCGGTCCACAACAGGTCGCCTCCTCACTGAAGGTCATTTATAGCTGCATTCCGTTTATAACAATACTTTGACTGGCAACAAATCTCCAAGCGCAGGTTTGACAATAAGTAATAAAGAAACATTTTTATTTTTATCTTTAGCTTTACTATCAACCGAAATATTTATTAAGAATAATAAGTATTTTTGGAATTGTTGCGAGAGCTATTCGTAAGTCTCATAATTTATTTTAGCATCAAACCAGAAGTTCGTTTTCATCGACATTTAACCATGATATTAAGTTTCAAAAGATGCTTGCTAAGAGTTAAAATATAAAAATACATGACAAATTTCGTCAAACTTTTAGGTACCTAGATATTGACAACTCAGTATGAAAAAATATTTACAATTAGTTATTCTGCCATATTGTAGTATAGGTAACATGATATTAGAATACTTCAATGACCAAAACATTTTATAATTATTAAATATTTTAATTGCTAACTTGGCTAACTATAATAATGTTCACTGAACATTGTAATAGAATAAACATATAAATATTATCAAATTAAAATTATAGATATTATCTTACACACGTATTAAACTATAGAATAAAAATATTTAAATAATCAAATTCAATATGAAAAACTTGATTTCCATCTTGAATTTTAAAAAACTGGCAAACAATGTTTTATTGTGTACATGTATGGCGACGTCTTAACAGTAAAATATCATGCAGTAAAATTCAATAATAATTTGGGATGGTTTCAAGTATGGCACCAGCACCAGCATATTTTCCAATGATACCAAACATTTTTTCATGGAATGTCATTCTGTCTGGAGACGAACAGTGACGCTTGGAACTCTGTGTCTTAATGTTGCAATCGCAACACATATTTTAGATGGGTGGCGGTACTGCTATCTTATATTGCACTTGTATTGTCAAATATATAGTATATGTCATTTAGCACCTATATGAGCTTAAGTTTAATGTTCAAACTGTTGAATTGTTAATTGATATAAAATAAAACAAATACCTAAGTATTTATATCAAATTTATTACAATTTAGATTTTAATATTTATACTTTATAGTAAGTATACAATTATATTAATTATTTTTCTATGAATACTACCTATACTATTATTATATATTATTATTATAGATAAACTTATGTGTGTAATACGTAATGGTATTGTTAAAAATTATGTACTTTAAATATTTAATTAAAAATTAACAAAAGCGCTTACTCAAGGACAACTCTACGATCTTCTACATAAATTATTATGCCTGAATTTGTTCGTCAAAATAAACGATAACTTATTAATGAAATCAAATTTTGGTTACGCATGAAATAAATTAAGTTAACTTTTAGTTAACTTACCTACAATCTTTGAGAATCACCCTGTATAAACGTACCTAAATAAAAAAAATATTTGTCTTATCATGCTTTATGAATAAAACCGTTTTCGCTTTATATAGGTAAACAGATTGCAAGACGATTACAAATATGTATTGTTGTTATTTTGCTATTTAGATAACGTTTTATACCTGTATAGACATAAAAGTTTTTATGCATGTACACAGATTCATCATTCACAGTCGCATACAACGTGATCTACCTATATAATATACTTAATATACTACTGTGCCTATATTTACCGATTTGTCACACAGATTTATACATCAAAAGCCAAATTTACGATCGAGACGTATCAAGCCCAAATAATCGAGTTGTAAATGCAGTCGCATTTTATTATACTGAGGTTTCGGTCCACTGAAATACGGGGATTGTATTGAGTTCGATTTTCTTCATCCGTATTGAACAATTTGTACTATTATAATATATTATCTATGAATTTCCGGAACAACAATGATGGGCCCGTCATAATAATATAGACGGTACAAAAATATGTGTAATATACAAATCTGCAATGCCATCTTTAAAATATGTGTCGTCAAAGCGTATAAATATAACGGCATTTGTTTTGGATGTGTTTAAAGATATGTCGAACTATTATTGAACATATATTGTTGTATAGCCGTATATTATAGGTTGTATCGCTGCAGTATATAGTAGCAGGTATCTTAGATTTGCAGCCGAATCCGATCCGATTTCTTTTCGATTTCTGAACAGCTAAACATTTTTTATCGGATTCTATTGTGTCGCATGTGTTTAATAATAATTATAACTATATTGTCAATTCAATTCTTAAATGGAATTTTTTTTTTTTTACTCATACGGTTATACAGTTTGCACCTAAATGTCCGTAACGTGATCGATATTACAAGTAGACAATAGAAATAAGATTACGGTCTTATTTTAATATTAGGTAGGTATTTAAAATTAAAAATTAATTTTAAATTTTTGGAAATATCATTTTAAATCAGGGATAGCTTAATAATTATTTTAAACGTTTTATTGATATTCTGGTAACCGTGACCTATTTACAACACATACGTAATATTGAATGATGACTCATAGATCACTATAATAATAGAATATTGATACTTTCTTAATTATGTAATTTTAAATGATTGGATTTCTTATTAAACAGGATGTATTTTTGTCATTAAAAGAGTTAATTTCAAACCTAGGCATAAACGAGTAAAAATGTTAAAATTTAGTTGATTTTAACTTTTTAAAATTTAATTTTCATTAACTTAATTTTTAACTTTACTGATTCTTATTGATATAAAGTTAATAAATAACGAGTTACTTTAAATCAAATCTCATTTCGTTCATTTATAAATAATTAAATAATGAGCATAAAAAAAAATATTATTGATGATATAATATATTGCATAAACATTTACTTTTTTATCATATAAAAATTCTTTCTAATTTAAAATGATCAGAATTAGATCTAACGACTAGTTTGGCTTGTGATTTCGGGTTCACTAATGCTAATTTTGAATCCACTACCTATTAAAATGATTAATTTATTATTAGTCATTGCAAATAATTTGGTATTTATTTTACCAACAGATTTTCCAGGAATATTTTACTTTATCTCTTAAGTATAAGTATCTCATTCATACTTTTTATATCAGATGAGTGGAAATTTAGTAATAGTGCTGAGAGAGTATTGAGTACGTATTTAAGTAAATGGTATTTATATAGAATAATAATACACTAAAATTTTTATTTATATTTTATGATTTGAATTTAGATTGTTGACGAAGTCTTGTAATAAGTACTCAGCACAGTAAATTGACATTCAGCAGCTCTGAATTACCAATATTACCTTCGTCAGTTTTAATTTTATAGTGAATTTCCTTATCATTAAATTTAAAGGTGACAACATACGTTCATTGGAAATGTTATTTCGATAATTTAATTTTGAAACCAGTGATAATAAACGTGTAAATAATTACGATTAAAATATGTTCATAAATAAGTCACTTTAAAATTAAAATATCGAAAAATCCCTCCCTGCATAAACCGCAAAATATGATGTCAGTATTTAAGTCTGTCATTTGTCAATGATACGCTTGTGTTTTGAGTATATGTGTAAGGGTTTTATTTGTTTTTTATGAATTTTAAATTAATTTCTAATTTCTAACTTACCATCCAACACGTAACATACAAATATAGTTGTTATAATAATAATGTTTGTTTAGCACTATAACTTGTGAAGTTAACTAATTTCTAAATATGAATATTATATACTTATATTATATTAATGTGAAATTGTTTGTTGATTGACACCTTCAGGGTGTTATTTCTTGTATCATTGAGTCTTATTTATATTTATATATTGTATATTATATTATATCAACATGTGGTGTTCAAGTCACCATCAAACACATATCAAACTAACCGAATGCCGAACCTACGACAGTACCCGAACAAGCCACAACCTACACGAATCATTATCATTACAATCTATTACCAAAATCATGCAATTCATCACAGCCGCCAATCTTATTTCCAAAATTTAATGTAGCTTATATATATTATATATATATATACAATTTATGTAGTTTCTGTAATTTATAATTTTTGCACTGTAAGCCCAATGGCCCATGTTGCCGAGGGTATTATTAATTAAAAAAAAAAAATATATTATATTATATCGGTTGTAACTTTGTAATAGGTAATTAATATATAAGTAGTATACACAGTACTTAACTATATATTATAATTTATATTGCAAAGGCATACAATAAGTTGTTCATCGTACACCCTTGTAAGTTGTGAGGTCAACAACATGTGATTAGCACTACTCAAAATAAATTCATCCATACTAAAAAACTCTCATTGATAAGATCTAAGTCAGGTTTAAGTATCTGACAATTTTCAATTAAACTCAGTGATTGTGTTGTCGTTTAGAAGTATTTAAGTAAAAAAATCTAAATGGTTTCCTATTCATTAATTTATTATATATTTTAAAATGGTTTTCATATTGACGATCTTGATCAATTTTCATAATCAAATAAACTACATATAAATATATATATATATATTATTTATTATCATTATTTGCTTTCATATATACCTATTATAAATGAGTTGAGGAATTTGATAGAGTCATTTTACGTGTTGGTATATACCTATAACTTACATAATATGCATTATGTATATGTAAAATATAATATATGCTTTTGGTGTACTTGCGTATACACACCAACGTCGCACACACATACATGTATACAATATATAAATTAATATGTCTGTGCGTTTTTTTTTTCAGGGAGTGTGAGAGAGAGAGGCGTATTTATCAGTTAGTATACTGCTATAACCATCATCTGCCGGACGGTCTATGGATAGACTACTGCTGTCGGTGTGTAGTTGGGTAACGGAGGGGAAAACCGTTTCGAGTTTCACATCACCGCTGCGCACACAGTGTCAGTGACTTCAATGCCCGGCTCAGTTTCTGGCTGTCTTTCTATGATGGTATACCGCGTTTGTATTTAAGTTTCCGTTATCCGCTCAGTAAAATATCGGTGTATTTTTTATTGTTTATTTATATACATTTTTTATTTTAATAAAAATAACAACAAAGAATATAAGTTTGACCGATTAGCCCAGTTACTTTTTTAATCGCACGGTTCTTTCGTTGATATATTGTTTCTCATTTGTGTACTAACAAATTAATAATTCTAACACTAAAATATTGTTTTCAAATTCAGGTTTTGTGTAGTGCGTGTGTATGTGCTAGTGCGCTGTTCGATTAAAGTAAATTGTCTGAAAATAAACGTGCATAAAACGTTGCTGTCGGTGTGATCGACACAAACATGTGATTTTAGTTGTAACGTCACTACAAGACGATGTGGAGAAGTAATTTTAAAATGACCATGTTACTGCTGCTTGCTATCACCATCATTGGTAAATTATTTCTGTATTTTTAAATCTTGTATATTTTATAGAAATTTTTGTATCTTGATTTTACCTCATGACTATATCAAATCTGTTTTCTGTTATACTATAGTCTATAATCTATATAACTACTGTCTTCTCGGGTTTGATCCTTTTTTTTTTTAATTACAAATTCCTAAAAATTACATTTTCACAAAATTATATTAATATATATTATTTGATGTCACAATTCTTCTTTTAGTTATAGGTAACTACTAACTAATAACTTTATAGATATTTGTGTAGGTACAATAAGGAACCATTAGAATCGTAGTCCAAATTTCAGATAATGGGGGGTACTATGCTATACATAGGGTAATATTCATGTATACCATATTATATTATACATTTATATACATAGGTTGTCGATACGACGTATCTTGGTATCTTCACAAAAATTCTTCCCTTGCGCGACGAATAGTTACACATTTTTATCACACAACTTCAAAACGAAAGCGGAGGAAAGATAATATTATTAGTCAGGCTAGACTTCGCAGGTGCATATAATAAAATATGTCAAACTATTGTTTATTCTATTATATTGTTTGTTATAATATACTTATATGCGTATGATATAAATTATACGGTGGACGAAATCGATTAAACTCGGTGACGGGAGAAACCGAATAATAATCAGTGATTTGGACCTACGTTACATAATAATGTGTCGACGAAAAAATAACAGCCATGCGATAATAGTATAATATGTAATACGTCTACGTCTACGTCTATATACAGTTACTGCGTGAGAAAATCGATACATACATTTTTTTTTATAATAATGCTCTAGTGTATTGAGCTACCGAGCGTCCCGCATAGTATACAATATATACCTGACCACCTAAATGTACCTGTAGTTGGTTACCTATGTTATATAGTTATGGTTGTATGGATATTATGTGTAACGACTTAAACAGTTCGTTTAACGACACAGACACGGATTCGCGGAAACATGGCCAGTCTCGGTGGTTGGGTCTTTTAAATCGATGTGCGCGTGTGTGTGAGTGTGATGGGTATATGTGTGAGAAATAGAAAAAAATTACACACCGATAGTGAGAAGACGTGTCAACGAACGCGCAGAGAATTTTTATGAAAAACGCGACGACGACCGCGGCGGCAGAACAGCAGCAGAATCCGGTACATCGGTTTCCGGTGTTTTACTACGGTCAAAACTCCAATGGCCGCCGCTTGCACCGCCGACGATGGTCGTTCGTACGTGTATAATAATAATATTATTATGTTACCAAAAAGACCGTGACCCGCGTTCGCCGTCGCCGCGCCTTTTGTTCTCTACGACACGAGAGAAAGTGAATTCTGTCGGGTATAATAATAAATTATAATAATATATTGTGCCTGTGTGCGCATGCGTGTGTGTGTGTGTGTGTGTGTGTGTGTGTGTACGATCGTCATCAAAATTTCCATGCGCTCATACGGAACTCTCCAGCGCGGGGTTTCTACGTATGTATATTTGTCCCGATACGATTTCGACGTTTACGTAACGTCCTTCGAGCGACCGTGTGCCGCCGTCTAGAACGGACTGCCGATGCCGTCTCCGTCATTCGGTCGAGGTCCTGTGGCTGTATATAATGATGTGTACATCGTATACACGTGAAATTTGGACGTTGGATGACGTGTAATAAAATAAACGTGAACGTGAGTATCGCTTTCGTTGGATGGTTTTATTACAATATACGTGTAAATAAGAGTTGGGAAAACTATCAGAATTTGTCTTTTATTTTTATTTTAACCTGATTATTTTATCAAATTAGGAAGTCTTATTTGCCATCAGAATGCATACAAGTTAGGTGTACCTGTAGGTACTTGCCTGGTCATCGGATTGGTTGTGAGTTAGGAAATTTAACTATAGTATAATGATTATAAGTGCCCAGCTGAAAAATAGACATCTGCGAATCTTGAACATGTTTCAAAGATTTCGTTCACTATTTACTTTTTGTACTTAATTAAAACAAATATATTTAACAGTACGCTATCGTATTAGCTAGGTAAACAATGTCTGGACCGAGATAATACGAGTAACGTGTTTTTACAATTTTTCGTTCCGTTCTAACATTAAATGTACTATAATGGGCCGCCGACGGGTCTACTCGTACATTAATATTACCTAAACATAAAACATTATGTAAATACCTACAGTATCGACCGAAAACCAAAAAAATTAAATGAAGTAAATAAAATAATATAATATGGATTGATCAACATGTAATAATAATGACTGAGTTTTTTATCCGTAATATTTTCGCGGTAATCAATCGTGAAATCGTTGTAATTATTGTGTTTTATGTACGATAATATAGACTATAGACTCTGTAGAAAAAAACTCATTTCATTAATTGTTCCGCCAAAAATCGATCACTTGATATAAATATGGACAAAAAATAATTAAAAAAGTACTTAGACTAAATTAAAAATATTATATATAAAGTGTGTTTATAATGATACGTAAATATTGGTTGTAATACATATTATACACACTATATATGAGGTAAATACCATGTTTTTAAATATTTTGAGTAACCGTAAGATAAAAAAAAACTAAAATAAATATATCATAAAACAATATTATTTTAAATCTATGAAAATATACCGTGCAAATTCAATCAAAAAATGTATATTTACCGTTAAATGTTTTTTTTTGAACATCAAAAAATAGGATAATTAATTTTTGAACGTATAAAAATGTTGAAATAATATGTTGTCTTTAATCCAAGCTATAACTTTTTGGAATGTACGTTAAAAGAAGTTTAATTTATCTCAGTGTACATACAAATATTTCTATTAATAACTGTATCCTCATATAGTCTTAGGGTCTGTACTAAATAATTACTAATTACTATAATTGCATTTAATTCGTATAGTTATTCAACTAAATAGTAATCATCACTAAACTATCAGTTTTTTTTTCATGAGTTTTAAAATACCGTAATCCGTAGTCACCACAACAATATTTTTTTATAGTATACCTATTAATTAATTCAATAAACGTTTATGGTTTTGTCCATTGACCTTTTAATGGTAAGTCAACCATCAAAATAGGTATATATATATTATATATTAAAAAATAAAAATACGTAATTAACAACTAATACGTATAGTGTATACTCATTGTACATATTAATGTATTGTACGAAAACATCTAGGTAGGTATTATTGTGGCATGACATGTGTATTTAATATGAGAACATTTAATAGTATGCTGCAATTGATAAGAACAAATTCTATAGGAATTTTATAGTGAATAGTGTTGGTTTGGTTGATTGGTATATTTTAATCATGCAAATGTTACATAAAATGTACTCTTTTTTTACGAGGCAAACGATGTACGGAATTTCAAAATGATGAACATTTTTGTGTTGAACATGCATTATTATTCCATTCATAATCATTTTACAATACTTGTATATTTTTTTTTACAAATGGTAGTATCGATATGTATCGATATTTGGGTAATTGTAAAATAACCGTGAATAAAATTTAAATGAAAATCTTCGCATTTTTGTAACTGCCGTGTGTGTATCGCGTTTGTGTGTGTGTATGTGTGTATGAATAGTATATTGTACAGTTGTAGTATCGCATACCTATCTATGTTTTTATTCGCAAACAAAATACTATATTTCCAATAAATAAATATTATTTTTTGGTTAGATACACTCCTCAGTATATAGATAATAGTATGTGTTATACTAGTATCCTATACAATGGTTTTTATTCGTTTTCTACCTATAAAATATAGTCATTAAATGTAATTATTTTTAAGCGGAACAACATAGATGGACTATATCATAATTCACCGTGTAATGGCTTAATGGTAACTGAATGAAAAATAAATGTGACTTTCATCCTCATTTCAATAAACAACAAGAATATTATGCGAAAAATAATAGTATTCCGTCCATCGTAATTAGATCTTATAGCGCTCAACGTTGACCAAGTGCACTAGTCTCCCCGGTATTGTATATATATATATAGTTAAGTCATAAATCCATGCACTTGTCATGCATAATAATAATATATATACTGTATTATTGGTAGAAAGAGGAATTTATGACTTTTAGCATACTTTCTTTTCCCCCGCATTACGCGGCTTGGCGTTGTGTTCGCATATAACTTACGCCGGTAAACAATAGTCGTTCAACCGTACGCTGCGGTACAAAGTGAGAAGAATATCAAAAACTCCAACGACTAATTATGACACCATAAGTATAAGTATGTTACCGGTTTCGTCAGATTCGACAGAATAGGTTTCAGGGGCACTCGTCTCGGGTGGCCTGCATTCTTCCGATATAGTTTTTTAAGATCTCCAGTTTATAGAATATAATATTTCTGATACCTGTAGCCCGCAATACTGTTATTATCTATACTTAATTTACACATACACCGGGCCAGCTGTAAGAGACGTAACGTCATCTGGGACCGATTCCGAGCGGCGACAATAATATTATGTTGATGATATTATAATATATGAACTGCGATGACCAACACGGAGCAGTTGCGGGACTGTCGCCACATACCACAGCATAGTATAATTTAATATTATCATCACGACGGGTGTAACTGTATAACGGTGGTCGGGTACCAGCGATCCAATATTATATTATATATTTTATCGTATGATATTCGTGTACGCCGATATCCGGCCGCATAATATACCGACACGGTTCGTGCAAGAAGAATCGCTTCCGCCTCCTCCGTGGGTATAATATAATATAATATTGTAGCCGGCAATGGCTTGCCAAACACCACTATGGGTACAACTGTACAAGCCCGTCGTTAGATATTTTTCACCCTAAAGCGAACATTTTAATACCACTTTTCTCTACCGATATTTGCTTAATTTTATGGCCTTCAATTTCTTTACAATTTGTATGCCGCCCTAAAGCAACGCACGTCTTGCTTGCCTGCGCACCTAACTAATGCAAAGTATGTACATTATTATTGTTATGCCAGCCAAT